AACCATATGAAATGTAGATTGACGGGTAGTAGACTTGAGATATACGGATTAACTCAAAATATTGCTACAAACCAATACTTAATGGTGCTTCAATACGTAAATAGTGGAAATCTTCGTCATTACTTGAGATTAAATTTTATAAAACTTACTTGGAAAGATAAATTATTACGACTAACAGACATATCAAAAGATTTAATTCGAATCCATGAAGCAGGATATATTCATTGTGATTTTCACAGTGGTAATATTTTGCAACATAAAGAAGAATTATGGCTTAAAAAAATAATAAAATCATATATTGCAGATCTGGGATTGTCACGAAATAATAAAGAATCTACATCGAAGAAGAGGATCTGTGGAGTTTTACCTTATATTGCTCTTGAAGTTTTACTAGGCCAAAAATTTACACATGCAGCTGACATTTATGGCTTTGGAGTTGTTATGGCAGAGATAACCACTGGAATTCCACCGTTTGATGGTTGTTTGTTTGATATTGATTTAACGATAAAAATTTGTGGCGGATTAAGACCAGAATTTGCTCCAGGAACACCTGATTGCTATATCAAATTAGCAGAATCATGTATGAATTCAGATCCGCAAAAACGGCCTACTGCGAAAATGCTATTTGACGGATTTTCAAAATGGTATAATTTTATGAATGAGCAGGATACGGACGACGAAGTTGATACGTTTGATGAATCTGATGAATTAGATGAGAAATCAGAAATCTGCAATAAATTCTGGGAAGCAGATGAAATAATTCAACAACTACCAATAACAGCACAAAAAAATTTAGATAGTGTATATACAAGCCAGTTTATTGATGTTAATGAAATTTCTCAACGATTCAGCGCAGAAATTAAGTCAGGCAATATAACTAGTAAATATATGTTCAAAAAATTTATTTAAAATTTCCATCATATTTAAGGACTAACTTAACGTCATTATTTTTTAGACTCGGGGCTTTTAAGTTTATATATTAAGTAGAGTTTGGAACCGGTTTATTTTTCATATGCTAAAACCGGGTTTAACATATGAAAAATAAACCGGCTCCAAACTCTAATATTAAATTATATATATATATATTTACTGTATTTTATTGGATTGATTGATGTTATAAATTAAATAAAAAGCAGGCTTAAACAAAGATTCGTTTTATAATAAGTAATTGCGAAACTATATTGTAATTTATTCCGGATTGCATTAAAGTGAAATGCCACCAATCTTATTAGGTCACTTTTTGCAGTTACGATTCAGCTTAAAGCATTGTATCATATAAATTTGAATACTAATTTACGTTCGCTATATGAACATTCACTAAAATTTTATTTGCACTATAATTGTTGTATAACTTATTATAATGTTTGCTAAGCGAACATTCAAAATTAGAGTTGGGAAACCCGAACTTTCCTGAATTTTTTAGGGTTTAGGTTATAGTATTGCTTAAATCCCAAACCCTAAACTTAACCACGATTCCAAACAAATGCCAAAATCCCAAGCCAATACCAAAATCTCAAGCTAAATTTCGAAGTCCAAACCTAATGTTGGAATCTTCACAATTGCAAACTAATCAGATTACATGTAACTCATTTGGCATATATTTTGGTATTTTCGGAATTGGAATTTAGAGATCACACAATAACTAATTGCTCAATCTTATTATTGTTATTGTTCACTAAATTTTTCGTCATGTTCTATCATGAGAAAAATCGAATGCATTAATCATTAATAAATTTAAAGAGATACATATGACCGAGCATGATCGATCATTCGTGATCGATCACATGAAAATCAAAAATTTTTGATCGATCACCATCTCAAACGTAAGTTAGGAATCGGGGAGTTTGGCATCAGTTTTGGATTTCAAAATAGTGCAGAACAGCATCCCTTTTGTATGTTTACAAAAAATAATATAACTTAAAACAAAAAAATTTTTAAAAACTTTTTTAACCAATTTGTAGCTTTTAAGACATACTACAATTTGGCTAAAAAAAATTTTACTGTAACCAAAATTTCATTATACCTGGTGTACTTTTGAATATAAAATAGGTGCTGCCAAAGGAAAACCTGTAGCTGAATTCCGTTTAAAGAACAGGCTTATCAGACACATGATTTATTATAATTTATCAGGGATCTGATCAACCCGTTTCTGAAATTGAAATTTCGGAAAATCGAGAATTACAGGTTTCCCCTTGGCTGCTTTTATCGTTATGTAATTTTCACAAAACTTATTGAATTGGTCAAATACAGTAATCATTCGGACGATTTTTTTAAAATTAAATAATCAAATGGCTTGGCACAGCAAAAGTAGCGGCTCGGCTCATAAACAGCTCAGATCTGATTTACATAGTTGTATGATCGGGTTCGGATCTGTAAACAATAGCCGTTAGCCGAAGGCGCGAAACCGATCACGTTACATTGATTGCCGATTAGTATAATTACGTGAGATCTACATTTCATCAATCATACGCGTTATCAGTTATAAGAAATACAAAGAAGAGTAAAGTTATGAGAAATACTTTAGATAAAGGGTTCGAACAAGCTATTTACAATGGAATTGTTAATTATCTTGAATTTGACAAATTTACGGATAGTGTGAACCTTGGAAGTGGAAGTCTTAGATCAGCTTTTAAATACGAGTGGAAAGATTGCGCATTAACTGTCGTCCTTAAATGTCTTAAAGTCGATACAAATTCAAACGAAGAAATTATTAAAAACTTTATTAACGGGGTATTGTGTTATATTAGAGCTTGAACTAGTTTTTTTTTTTTAATGTATTATATTTTTAACTTTTTCTTATAATTTATGTAAATACGTAATACTGTAGCTTAAACTTTTACGAAAAGTTGATTGTCATCAAAATATCATTTCATTTTATGGTGTCACCAAAAGTATGTATAATTCTATGAATACAGTATAAAATAATAATTATAAAAATTTCATTAATATTTATTGTTAATAAAATAGATCGCAATGGATCTTATAATATGGTTTTTCAATACGCTAATGAAGGAAATTTACGAAAATACTTGAAAGAAAATTTTGGGACACTGCAATGGTCAAGTAAATTACGTATTGCTAGGGAAATAGCGTTAGGACTTTTGTTTTTACACGATAATGATATAATTCATGAAAATCTTGTACGTCATTATATTTTATATTACACGTTTATGAGTTTTTTTTATTTATTTTTTATTCACTAATATTTTATTAACTTATAGCATTCGAAAAATATATTAATTCATCAAGGAAGGCCAAAGATTACAGATTTTGAAATGTCAAACTCAGTTGATTGTAGAATGCCCGCGTATATAGATCCTCAATGTTTTATTGATCAACAATATAAACGTGACAAGAAATCAGATGTATATAGTTTTGGAGTGATTCTTTGGGAAATTTCAAGCGGTATACCACCATTCCAATTCTTTGAATACGAAGTTTCACTTTCTCTTCACATCTTAAGAGGAAATAGGGAAGATCCAATAGAAGGCTCACCACTTCAATATGTTAAACTTTATAAACAATGTTGGGATGAAAATTCCGAAGTTCGTCCGGAAACTAAAACAATTTTTGAAACTTTAAATAAATTGTTTCCAGATGAGATTTTAAATCGACATCATCTTGATGAAATTACTTTTTCGAATCAACAAAGAAATCTAAATATAAATGTAGACACACGACATAATTCACATGGAACACATGAAATTACAGCATCTTCGTCCGTTAGTAGGAATACACATGCAAATAAAAGAAAGGAAATTTCACATGAAATCACTACATCTTCGTCTGTTAGTAGAAATACACGTGCGAATAAGAGAAGGGAAGTGTCACATGAAACATATGAAGTTGTACCATCTTCATCTGTTAGTAGGAATACATTTACGAATGAAAGAAGGGAAGAGCCACATGAAAAACATGAAATCATAGCATCTTCGTCTGTTAGTAGATATACACGTGCGAATAAGAGAAGGGAAGTGTCACATGAAACATATGAAGTTGTAGCATCTTCATCTGTTAGTAGGAATACATTTACGAATGAAAGAAGGGAAGAGCCACATGAAAAACATGAAATCATAGCATCTTCGTCTGTTAGTAGAAATACACGCGCGAATAAGAGAAGGGAAGTGTTACATGAAACATATGAAGTTGTAGCATCTTCATCTGTTAGTAGGAATACATTTGCGAATGAAAGAAAGGAAGAGCCACATGAAAAACATGAAATCATAGCATCTTCGTCTATCAATAAGAATACACGTACGAAGAAGAAATGGCAATTGCCACTTGAAGAACAAACTTCTTCGCTTATTAGTAGAGGTATACGAGCGAATAAGTTAAATGAAGCGCTTAAATACTTAAAGGAAGGCTGTTTTCTCAAAGCACTAGAAAATTATGTAGATGTTTTCAACATGAAAGACGTCAGGTTTGCCGCAAGTTTTCGGGAAAAAGCATCAAGTTGGGAGATTAATTGTAAATTTAGTTTAAAGGAAATAAATGAATTGTCAAGGGTACTTTACAAGAACATTATATTGACTTCATTGAATCTTCAAAATAATGAAATTGATGCACAATGTGGAAAGGTATTAGCAAAAGCGCTTTGCAGAAACAACAAATTAGTTTATCTGAATCTTGGTAATAATAAACTTGAAGCAGAAGGTGGAGAAGCAATAGCAGAAGCGCTTTGCAAAAACACCTCACTGACTTTTTTAGATCTTAGTGATAACAATCTTGGACCAATGGGAGGTAAAGCAATAGCAAGAGCGCTTTGCAAAAATAATACTTTGATCACTCTAAACCTTCGTTATAATAATCTTGGAGTAATAGGAGGGGTGGCATTAGCAGAAGCGCTTCGCGTAAATATCTCTTTGACTTCTTTAGATCTTCAAAGTAATCATCTTGGGTCAAAAGGAGGGACAGCATTGGCAAAAACGCTTTGCAATAACATAGTCTTGGAAACTTTAAATCTTTCGTATAATGAACTTGGTCCAGAGGGTGGAATAAAATTAGCCGAAGCACTTTGCAAGAATTCAGGATCTCTACTTTCTTTAAATCTTAGACAGAATGGGCTTAGGTCAGAGGGAGGAAAAGCAATAGCAAAAACACTTTTTGAAAACCCCTTCCTAACTTCTTTAGATCTTTGTGATAATCGACTTGGATCAAAAGTAGGAGAAGCGTTGGCAGCAGCACTCTATAAAAACACTAATTTAGTTTATTTGAATCTTGGGTTTAATGAAATTGGACCAGAAGGCGGAAAAGCAATAGCAAATGCGCTTTATGAAAACACTACCCTAACTTCATTGGATCTTCAATGTAGTGAACTTGGAATTGAGGGGGGAAAAGCACTAGTGAATGCAGTTGGTGTGAATACCACTCTAGCTTTTTTGGATATTCGATATATTGATTTCGATTTTGAAACAAAAAAAAGATTCAAAATCATGAGTTCATGTAGAAAACGAATAAAAGTGGATAAACTACGCTAGGCATGTGAAGTTAAATACTTTCTATCTAATTTGTGATTACAATATTTAATATTGCCATTATTTTCAATAACTTACGTAAATTCGTTAAGATCATGTGAAATGAATACGTTGGTTTGAACATTATAATAACATGAATAATTGTTAGGAAGTGTTTACACAAAGTACAATAGTCAAATTTTTTTTTGTTTATATCTTGAGATTAAATAAAGTACAAGTTCAGATTTAGTAATATAACTATCATTTATAAAAATAAAGTGTCGTGAGTGAGGTTGATATAAATGAAATTAGAGAATTGAAAAATAAAATAAAATAATTTTAACATCGTTCGTGAAAAGATTTTAACCTATTTTATTAAATAAATTATACAGATCTAAATAAAAACTATACACTACAAGCTATAAATAAACGAAGGATGTGAATCACCCAAATGCGTAGCATCATTATTCGAGCCTTTTAAAAACATTTCAGGCCTTTCAATCTTATATTTATTAGCTCTTTTCAATAAACAACATTGAGTTAAAGTTATTAATATGGCAACAGCGAAAAGTGATAATGCGGCACTATGACCAGTCTTATAATCTGGAGCATCACTAGATTTATATAATTGTGCGCTTACTACACCACCTATGTTACCAAAGGCTATCGCCATCGCACAACCTACGGCACGTTTCGAGTCACCAGCCAGATTATTAGTTATCCTATTTATTTATATTAGAATTAGCGTTAGGTAAAAAAATGCATTTATAGATATATTGTATTAACTGTAATAGAGACATTACCATGCAAGTGTTGTAGGGATAGTTGGAAATGCACCAAATCCAACAATACAAACACCGGTATATTTCACTAAAAATACAAAATATTATTATAACGATATTTTCAAATTAAATAAAACTTTACAAAAAAAACTTACAAGCAGTACTAATGTTTGGTACAAGGAGTATTGAGTATCCTATAATTGCTATTGATAAACTAAAAATCAAATATGGACTACGAACACCGGTACGATCAGATAATTTCGCTATAGATATAGTTGAAATACATCCCAAAACAAATGGTGGAGTGGAAAGAAGTTGAGAAATAACTAATAATAAAAATGATTAGATCGAAAAAAATAATTAACATATTGATTTCTAAACAAGACGATAATAGAACTATTTTTTTTTTTTGTTTAAAAAAAAAACATTACTTGTGCTAAATCCTAAACCATTTACGATGGTCGGAACGAAAAAAGAAAAAGAATATAAAGTAACAAGCAAACAAAAGTATAAACCCATAAATCTATAGACTTTCTAAAATAATAAAATAATAATATAAATTTAATATATCATATAATCAATTCACAAAGATTATTATATATATATATATTTTATAAAAATTACCAAATCTTTAAATGCTTGTCGAACTTGATGTTTATCAAAATGAGTTGTGTGGGTATGCCCTACATCGCGTCGTAATCGATCAATGGCTAGTTTTCTTTCGTCTTCTGTAAGCCATGAAACGGTTTCCGCATAATCCGAAATTAAAAAGTAAGAAAAAAATGCAATTATGACTGTCGCCGCACCATCAATAAGAAATAACTGACATTAAAAAAGAAATGATGAAAATAATAATTAAAACTTAAAAAAGAATTACACTATAAATCAAACAAGAAGTATATATATGAATACGACGTACCCATCGCCAACCACTAAAACCAAATTTACCATTTAAATTTGTGATAGCATATGCCAAAAGACCATTAAATGCGCCAGCAATTGTAGCACCAGAAAAAAATAACCCAATTCTATAATTTTGTTCAGATTTCTTGTACCATCTTGTAATATAAAATACGACACCAGGAAAAAGACCAGATTCAAAAATACCCAAAAAAAATCTCGTAATCATCAAATGTGTAAAATTTTGTACCTTTAAAAAATAATATTAATAATTAATAATTTTAAATCATTAGCTGTTAGTTAATTAGAATGTATTAATATTACAGTAGCGATAATGTATCTTTAAATGCTTACAAATGCCATTGTTATCATGATGACACCCCATACGATCATGAGCGATGAAACTATAAAAAGGAATTTGCGCATGAGAATAAAATTTCATTTTACAAAATGACCATATAAATATATATATAACTAACTCCAAATTGAAGGTCTGACTTTGATTAGCATCATATTAGATGGTATTTCAAACAATATATAGCCTCTGCAAAGTGAAGAAAAAAAATTTAAATCGTGGAATGAAAAACAATGCATTTATCTATAAATAAAAAATAAAATAAAATAATAGAAAAAGCTTACACAAAGAATATCCCTAAAGACCAGTTATATTCATTACCCGCTAAATTAAGATCACGTTCCAAATGAGCTAATTTCGCGTTTCCAATATTAACCCTAAAGTAATAATAAAAAAAATAAAAATAAAAATAAAAATAAAATAAAAACTTATTGTAAAGGAAAATCATTAGTTTAAAATATATACCTATCTAAGAAACTGAGAGTATAAAGAAGCGTAACTAAAGGAATAATTCTTAAATCAAGCTTTTTTACTAATTTTTTTTCTGCGACATCATCGATATTTGCAAAATCCTCGGTTGCAAGAGCATTGCTTGAATTGTTTGTTGATTCATCTATCTTTTCAGAATTGTCAACAGAATTTCTTGACTGAGGCATTATTTATTATTTACAAATCTAAGAACAACCGAAATTTTATATTCGTAGATATTGTCATGAATTGACAAACAAAGCAAGAGATAGAAACACTATATATCTGAATCAAAAAAGGGATCACATGTACGCATTAAGCTTTACATTGCTATTTTTGAAGAAACTATACTTTTTCTATCTTTTAAAATTATATAAGATTACTTAGGTACATGTTAGTATCACTAAAATGGTTGCTGCAGGTTTATCATTAGCCATTTGCATAAAAGTCATTAGGAGTTTCCTAAACTAATTTGACATTACTGGTATGAAGGAATAATTACATAATAATAATGACACACATAGTAGTTCGTATACGTAACCGCCTTATCAGTTTATATATAGGAATTACAATTTTTTTTTGTAGACTTTAATTTATCTAAATTCAAATTTTAATTTCGTTTAATTTTATAGTTGTAAATAGTATAAGGTACCGTCAGAGTTATAAGTTTCGTCGGAACGTTGGAACTGGTACCCAGAGCAGCACCTATAGGTAAGTTTGGGTTCTTTTGTTCTTTTTCCTGCTTTTTTTGTTTTTTCTTCATTGTAATAACTTAATCACCAATCAGTAGTGGCAAAAACCATAATATTCTGATTTGTATAACTTGTATTTACCTCAGCTAATCTTTATAAATATTAATAAATATTGATCGACCGGCGATACATACGTACAGTGCATACGTACAAACTTAAAAATTAAGTGCATTTTTATAAATCATGGTTTCATGATAAATCATTATACACACACGCCAATTATTTAATTAGCTATGCGAGCAGTCGCACTTAAACCAGGAATAAACTAGAACGTTTTTGGTATGTGGAATTGTGATTAATTAACGTTAAATGTTTGATCAAATTTTGGAACTGGTTTAGTCCGGAATAAAGGTGCAGAAATTTGGCGGCGTGTGGTTACACAAAAAGATACGAGTTACGTCAAAAGTGCCATAATAGACTAATAGACGTATGCCGTAATAGCTTACATTTTCGGTGTTGTATATAATCGTACAGTCAATATCATGAAAGACGTAGCGTAGGTTAATAAAAAAGAAAAAGCGTATAACA